CGTTGCAGCTGCTTTATTTTTTTTTATAATCAAGTAAGATTGGATGTAAGTGTGAAGGACATAAGTTTATACCTGGAAAATCACTAAGGTCCTCTATTTCATCACGTAGATCTGTCACACAAACACCTGAAATCGTACAAAGGTCTGTGTGCTACATTTATTTCAGTGACAATGTTTATTTCTTTCTGGATGCTTTCGCTGAAAATGTCCTAGAATAATATCCTATATATTTTTTCCTCCTACTTATTTCAATCCCTTTTCTAATCTAGTTCAGCATTATATGTATCAGCACTGGTGCAGTTTGAATTTAGAGTGGTTGGCTTCACTGAAGGTCTAACTCCTGTCCTGTTGTCGTCGGGGTAAAATTCAATGATTTCATTAGCATGCATAATCTGCTATAAATAATTAAAATCAGAATTCAGAAAATGAGAATGGTCAAGCTGCTGGAAGAAATACTTCAAGATATCTGAGCACAAATTTAAAAGAAATCCCAAGAGGAATAGAGAACCCTGGAGAAAAATTAAGTTATTCAGTTTAGACATACACTGATTTTTTGGGAAGTGTTCTCAGTGAAACATTGGTGGGATAATGGGCTTCTCTGTATTTTGCTATTCACTTTAGCTCATGAATGTCAAGGGCAGTTTGTGTTTCTTTCTGGAGATGAGATGTCCTCAGAAATAGCTGAGCCATATGACACAACGATGACTCATTTCTTGACTCAACAGAGTACAGAAAGAATAATGGAGGAGAATAGATAAAGCTATAGGGCAAAAAATAGAGCACAATTTCAGTCAGTTTGTTTGCTCTCTAAATGAAATGGGCAAAATTCTGAATCTCAAAGAGAAAGTAGATTATGGTAGCAAATGACATAAACACTACAAACTCAAAATTTCTGTGTAAAACTGCAAATTAAAGGAAAGAAAGAATATTTTTTCACCCACTTAATTACTTGCATGAAAATGAATAGAATTATTTTTTTTTTCTTTTTTTTCTTTTTTTTTCTTTTTTGGTATTATATTCATTCTCTATTGAATTAAGTCTTTGTCCCATTTAAAAGCCCCATCTTGTTCTGTCAATCTCTGAAGCAGCTATTCAGCAGCCAACCAACACAACAGAATTTCTCTATGCTGAATGCTCTTTGTCATTTTTGCATTGTGTCCTAGCCCCTTATTATAATGGTGCTGCTAGCAGAACTATAGAGAAGCATATGTCAATATTTCTATGCCAAACCCAGTTTTATTAGTAGTTGTTTGTAACAAGACCATTCTAATTTGTGTAATCAAGATGAAGTTAAAATACAATTATTCTCCATCCTGACACTAATTTCCTCTAAAAATATGTTTTATTTTTCTCAATCATTTTTAAAAGATTGACAAAAAAGTGCTGAGGTTTCAAAACTCCATTTTGCTGGCGACTCTTCCACAGGCAAAAGGGGAGCAGAAAGTGCATAAGATACCATGTAGACATTTGTCATGAGTATTTTGAAACAAAATACTGGAGGACAGGGAATTCCTTGTCATGGCTGAAGGATATTTTTGCCTTCAGAATGTTTATTTTGACCTTGTTCTGCCAAGTAAGAGACTATCTGTAGCTGCAGATGTTTTATCTTTCATTTAAATATGTCTTTTTGTATGTAATTTATATTTTAATTTTCCTTTTTTTTTTTTTTCCTCCCTGCAAAAGCAGAGAACATAAATGACAGCTGTGTCTATGCCATGTCTATTTTCAGGAAAAATATTTGTTAGTGACCATGGCAATGAGTGTGAAGGGAAAAGATAAGCTTGTAGAAACTATGGCCTCATTTACATACTTATTTTTAGTAAAAACCAATTCTTTCATCTTTGTAATGACTTCACTGCTTGCACAAGGTGAACTAAAAATAGAGTTTGTTTCTCCCTTGGTAGTGTATGGCAATGAACTGTACTGCAGCTGTCCAGCTTTCAAATCTGCTGAGTTTGATATCCAGTGCTCTTGACACGTGCAGACTTTATAGGCTCTTCTGAAATAATCCTGAAAGTTCAACCAGTGACCAAAAGCTTGTTTGAATTCCATGTAATATTGAGCTAGATTTTCAGAGTACGAGGCATCTTTTTAAACGCTGCAGTGAGTAGTCTAAAGTAAATTAGTAGCATGTTTTTAGCTTACAATGATGCTTACAAATAGAGCCTTACAGTTTCGTGCTACAAAGGAGCTCTCTTGTGTCCTCTCTCTTATCTCCCTTTTCCTTTCATGTACCCATCTGCATCTGTCTTGCCCTCTTCCTTGCACTAGTTCAGATGGCTTTTGGCCATTACTGTGAGCTGATTTATCCACTACCTAAGCAGGCAGTTACCTGCATTTTTGCTGACTTTGTTTCCTTTTGAGCCAGTGAGCTGAGTCAGTTCAGACAGGCTCTGATAGTAAATGGTGTGGGAACACAAAACCAGGTGCACTGAGACAGAAGAAGGGATCTGCTGCTACTGAACTGCTGGGTCATCTCACTTTGTTTCAGTGAGCTGCACCCTATCTTATCTGCAGTATTTCAAAAGTGTAACTAGTGCCATTTCCTCAACACACCTGCCAGAATTGAAGCTCAGGTCCTTATGTAACAGAAATTTGAAATACTTTCTTGCTTAACACTGTTGTTCAATCTCATAGCCTTAAAGAAGTGGCTTGTTGGTTGGAGCTGCCCTTCAGAAGAGTGCATGGCACCTTGCCATGCAGCCTGGGTGATGAGGCTCACGGTGCTGCTCCTGGACATGTGCAGCATCATAGCATCATGTGCTACAATTGCATATCCAAGACAGTCTGTTATTAAAAAGGTTAAGTAGTTTCTCAAACTTTTCAGCTAGAGAAGCATGTTAGACCTGCCAGCCTAAACTTCATGTATTTTTTTCAGTAGGTGGAAGAGGAGAGGGCTTCTGCATGAAATTTCACCCCTGGATAAATGCACACCAGGTGAAATTTGCACTTATTCCTAATTTTTGTCTGAACTTTGCACTAAAAATCCCCAAATGAATATGAATATCATCCTCTGTTCACAAATTCCTCTTTATGCTTCCCCATGGTAGTAAATTTGACTCCTACTAATGGCAGGTGAAACTGCTCTTCACAGAATAAAAGAGACTGCATAAAATCTTTAACTCTTTCTTGATGGATTGGTGCAACTATGTGTGAATGCATGTGTTTAAAGCTTCATTTATAGTTTTAATTAAGAATTCCATGTGCTTTTTTGGTGTATGCCATTGCTTTACCACAGAATAAAGCTCTCTCTTTGGTAGGCTGAAGAAAAAGAACTCTCCCAGTCCTCCCCCTCTCACTCAATGATACCAGTCATCCCTTCTGCGTGTGTTGTCGTATAACTTCATTTTCTTTGCCATGGCTGTCCAGAACTTTACTTAAATTCTGGATGACGGTTTCCCAGAATTACAGTGTGAACAGAATTTTTACCCTGAGTTGAAATGATAGAAATAGAAGAAACCAAACTGTAGGGCATGAAAGCTTTCCTATTTTGACTATATTTCCTTGAGTTTTTCATAGGATCACAAAAGAAAGGATGTATGTTCAGTATACTGGATAGGGCCTTATCTTGCCTTTTTTGACCCTTTTATTTCCAAGGGACAAACTTGCAATTTATGCATAAATTCCTGCAATAGAGTGTTGCTCTGTATTAGTTTGTAATGTTAACTTGTTTATTCCACCCACCAGCCTGTCTCTGAGTTCATATGGTTCAAGAAACTACCATGTTCCTCCTATGAAGACAGATGAAAATGCAGAGTGAGGTACACATAGTGTGACCGAACATCCGGAATGTACAGTATGTGCTTGACAGTAGAAATTGTTACCAAAATACCAAAGGAAATTGGATGATACTTTACCTTCTACCTGCAGTGTTTGTTTATTTTTGCATTTATTAATATTTCCAGTTGTGTTACATAATCATTTTTTTGTGTTTAATGTCTTAGTAAATATGATTTTTTTTCAAGGAGCTCTATGTTCCTCTCTTTTAAGTTAGCATACACTGCTATATTGCATTAAATGTTCATTGGTGCTTGGCAATTTCAATCAATCAAGCAATGTCTCTCTATTCTGTTGTACTTACTACTAGTGGAAAAGGGCCCATTATTCTGCATTGAAAAATTGAGAATATAAACCCTGCAGAAACCACTAATTGATTGACGTGGAGTAATGCTCTGTAATAAAACATTTTTTTTCCCAGGGAAAAAAAATATTGCTAGTTCTAAAATTGCAAAATATGTAAATTTTCAAAAATAATTTTTGAAAAAGAGTATTAGAGGAGTTAATTATTATACAAATGCAGAAATGGAAAAAAAGCAAACAACAATCAAACATGGAGAGTTTGTATAACCATTAACCAAGCTATGGTAAACCATTACTTAACTCTGACTTAAGAGATCCATCATGGGATTCGTGGCAGTCAGATAACTAATGCTTAAATAATTCCACAGTAATTTAAACCTGTGGTTAATGGCATCACTCAACCAAGCAGTCTTAGTCTCTGCAGTTATTTTTAACTGGTATGAAGTTATGCTAACTCCCTCCTCCCTCTCCCTGCCTACATGGCAAATGCTAACAAGTCTTTACTAGCTGTATGGCACAGTATGAAGACCTTTTCTGAAGTCCAGGCAGATGATATTCACTGTTTTTTTTCTTGCTGAAAAAAATATTTCTTCACTCAAGAGTGGTGTCAAGTGAATCAGGTGCAATCTGCCTTGGCTGACACTGCATTTAATCTTTTAATAAAGATATAATTATTTACATTTATTTCCTTGTTTTTAACTGTATTTTACATTAAAAAATGTTCCAAAAGACGGTACATTATTAGGATCAATTTATCAGTTGCTGACTATCCAATTTTTTTTTCCCCTGTACTCTCACTGATTAATACCCAGTTAAATGAGAGAATGAGGTGGGTGGTTGATATGAGTTGACGAGTTGCATAGGGTGGGCAGAAGTTGACTGAAGTGGGCATGACCTTGGTGGCCCTGGTGAATGTGGAACAAGAGAGTGACAGAAACTTATTTAGTATTTTTACTTCTAACCTGAGGATCAAGAGTGGAAGTGAACTGATAAATTATGCTAGTGACACAAAGCTGAGTGGCATTGCCTTTGCAGAGGAGGATCAAAATATCACACAGGACCAGCTGGATCACTGAGGGCAGAAAAAAAAAAAAAAAAAGGATGAAGTTAAATAGCATAAAGTTCAAGGTCACATAGTCTCAGACCAGCAAGAATTTCTGCCAAGAATTAGCAACCTGTGTCTTGGAAACAGCTGAAGAGAAGGAAGAGACTTGAGGCTACTCTCCCATCGCAGGTGAGTATGAAAATTAAATTTCTTCTGTGTTTTGTTTGGCAGTAAAGTCACCTCTGTGCCTTTCCTCCCACACTGCATAGGGCACTCGTTCTTCTCCCCATGCTACAGATTGCTGCCTCATCGCCAGTGGCAGTGCAATGGGATCACCCCGTAAATTAGTGTGAAAAAATAAGTTGAAGCTGTGTCAGTTGCAGTAATTTCAAAATTCATTGTGAAGTAGCAGTACATGTGTGGGGGCTGTATCATGGGGAGAACAGCGTGGGCAGATGTGCAAGAAAAAAATGATGCAACACAAAGGAGGTGCATGAGTGGACTACGAGGCAGATTAGGGGCCACAGAGAGCTTATGTAACTACAGGACACAACACCTTCCTGAGTAGTTTTGCTTAGTAAAATGAAGTCTTACAAAGGACATGATTCCTGCAAATATAGAGAGGCAGAGAAGAGAAAATAGGCACAAACAAGGGAGGGGAAAAAGCTATTTAAAATGTTGAAAATTGTTAGTCTGACAAGTAGATCCAAAGCAGAATTTATTTAACACAGGTATATTTTGCCCTGCAAACATGAATCGGGTTTCTAATCACCAGCTCTGCAAACTGGAGAGCTCTGGTCCAGAACCATTTGCTTTGTGGAACAGAAATCTATTAATTTCAGACTGCAGATTGATTTGTTATGAAAAAGCATTTGATATGATGGCACATAGACACAAACTGTGTCTCAGGAGGCTCCCAACCCTACGTCCCTGGGCAGCAGAAAGCGTTTGATGGAGGCAGCACATGGGGGACTGATGTATAACAAGTATCAGACAAGAGCTTTTTTGTGTTGAAATTCAAATTTCCGAAGAGGGTTTTGCTTTCAAATACATAAATTTTCCAGTGGACACCCAGAGAACAAGATCTACTTCTGTAAGAGCGAACTGAAGTCTTTAATATATGGGTGGCTGTAGGTGACATCAGTAAATAACAACACAATAGTTTTCCGCATCCTGTGCATTTTCTAAAATCATTATTTGTTTTTCCCTAGAACAGCAGGTACTTAGAGATTCTGGAAAAGCAGTCAATTTAAACAAATGCTTTTACACAGCCAGCAAGGCAGCACAAAAGAGCTTACACAGAGAAGATGAGACCCCTTACACTGCCTCTGACATCCTGCTGTCTTTCTCCGAGCCCTGGCCAGTGACCATGTCAGCACCAATGAGGGGAATTGCAGCACTCCACTGTTGTAGCTGCTTGATCTTGTGACTCTGCTGATGGCCTGTCCAGAGCACATCTCTGAATGAGCAAGTGGTTAGTGAGGAAGGACCCACCTCACGTAGTCACTGTGTGGATTGAGTTTCACCTTTCCACAAACACCAGGTGCTTTTCCAAACAAGGAAGAAAGTGGCTGAGCTGGCTGGGCTGCCACATGGAAAAGGGAGGGCTGGAAAGGCAGAGACAGAGAGAAAGATGACATCCTGGTGTTATTACAGAAGGGAGGGTACGTTAAGGGTCAGCATTTATAATTGTCATGTTACATCTTGAGATTAAAGTGTTTGAAAATTAGTTTAAAATCAGTTATTGAATAGAAAGGGCTGCAAGGGAAAGCGCGTCATTCTTCATTACACAGGCCTGAGATGAGATCCACATCAGACATACCACATAAATTCTCCCAGCTGCACATGCTTGCGGCCAGAATGACAGCTTGATACCTACCTACGTGTCAGTCAGTCCCTTTACCCCAGATAAACTCTTGCTTCTGCGGTATCCTTTGCTTCAAAGCAATGCTGACAAGGATTTATTGAATTAACCTAAATGGCTTTAAGCCCCAATTCATGCTGGTGCAGCATGTCTCTATCAGGGGTTTGCACTGGTATAACTAATTGATTTAGTTACAGATGGGAAAATTTTCTTAACAAGAGAAGGCCTAAACTGCTGGCCAGGCTGCCTTTGTTGTTTGCAAGTAATCTCCCTCAGCCTGTTGTTAGCATAAATCTGTTCTATTTTGGATTCCCAGAGAGCTAATTTGTGAAAGAGCCACACAATAGCATGGTTTACATTTCCAGCTCCTTTTCAAAATGGGACTGTAGGATTTAAAAAAAAAAAAAAAAAAAAAAATTTAGGAGTTGTCTGCATTTCTGTGAATATTTTATTGCCTTCGTCTCAGTCCTCATGTATTTTGTGGGAGAGCAATTCATTTGATAAATGAGCTTGCTCTAATTGGGCACAAGGGCAAAGTGTGCAGATCTGTTCCCCGAGTGTCTGGGCTGGAAGTACAGCACCCTTTGAATCACCATCCTGAAACAAAGAGTTATATCAACAAATCTTACATCTGCTTCCTTTGGTTATCTTCTCTATATCCAATGTGAACTTTCTCTTGTTCTTGGTGCTTATCTGCCCATATGAGCACAGCTGAAAACCTCTGCACATATTTGAAACCAACAGGATGAAATCCAGGATGGTGCTGCAAAAAAACCCCATGCTTGTGCTCACCTGAATGAAATTAAACTGAAAAATAAAACATCATTTTTTTGAGGAATTAGATATGATGTGCATGTTTACATAAGTCAGCTATGGAGGCTTGTTAGCTATGGTTTTGGAAACTGGGACATCGAGATCTTGGTCCTATTTGTTTTATACACACAGCTGTAATCATAATTAGTAACTGAATTTTCCTGTTCTTAAAAGGACATTGGACTTGGGGCCATTTGTGAATTTTTATATCTATTTATCTTCCTAGGAGAAGAGTGGTGAAATCTGGAGACAGTGACACAACTTCCAGTGGCCAAACAGCAGTCATTATCGCTCCTCAGAAGAGAAAGTGTTGTAGGACACTTTTTATGCAGGATACTGTGGAGCATTAAGAGTTACTTTAAACTTTCTTACCTTTCCAGAAGTTGTTTCATTTCATTATCAGCTTGATTATACTTCAGTTCTAGTCTTCTGCATTGATCCAGCAATTATGAAATAAAGGTGGTATGACTGAATAGGCCCAAATGGTTTGTCTTATTTTAGAGAGTATATAATAGCCTCTCACAGAGGTCTCTGTCACAGTGAGAATTCTGTTTTCTTTGAGATCATTTATGCTCTTTGTGTATTTGAACAACATCAATTTTGCAGCCTAATCCAAAGAAGTGCTGGGAAAGTGTGGTATTGCAGAAGCTGTTATAGTGAGATTTTAAGGTGAGTACATGATGGTAATATTTTCTTTGCCTAGATCGTTAACCTATGTGCCTTAAATAGTTTTCATGCATCCAGAGAATTGAAGTATAAAGGATTTTCAAAAGGACATAAACAGGGGTAAGGAATTTTTCACTATGCTAAGTAGTCTCATTGCTGCCTTTTTGCTAAAGCTAATTCAAAAGAAAACAGTATTTTCACATTGAGAACAAACAATGCCATTCTCTGAGACATATTGTTATGGCCACACACTTTTTTCTTAGTTATTATTGTAAAAAGACAGATGTGAATAAGAACTGCAATTCTCAAGGAAAAAAAAACGTCACTGTAGCACAGAAATGTGAACTTTTATCATAGTTTTGTGTGTTGCAAAGACTTGGAAAATTAACTCACACAGTGCTTGATAGCTGTTGAAGGAATCAGCACTCACTCTGCCCCTTTTACCAGAGCTGAAAGCCCACATGTACTCTTTTCAGACAGATTTCACATTGCTGTTCAATTCATATCCTACTTTTTCAAAGTAAATGTGAAGAATTTTCTCAGTAGACTACACAACAACTTCAAAATTTATTTATTTGTCAATGGAAATCTTTACATATGTAGCTCAGAATTAAATTCTCTCTGCAAAGTCAGTCAAACATAGCAGAAACAACTCACTTATACAATTTAGATATAGATTTTATTTTTCATTGCAGGAAATGTCCTACCATTTCTAACAATGCTGACAATTCTTCAATGCTTGTGTGGTTTGTACCACCGTTTTTTCACTGCATTACAAATGTGTATAGAAACTCTTGAGTTATGGCCTGAACCACACATTGGTCACCTGAGGAAAGGACTGAGTCAGCTGTGGGAGCACAGGTGAAGGTAATTACCTCCTAGACTTCATTTAAGGGGCTGACTGCCACTAGGAAGCATTTCTTTCTGAAGATCCCTCTTCTGTGGAGTCTTTCCTGCAAACTTAGATCTTAAGATACAGGTGAGCATTCCTTACCTGTTTGTTTCTTTTTCTCATTTTCACCATGGTAATCTTTCTAACTGTAACACCAACTGTAACAGAGGGTCTCTGGCAACCCAACAAAGTGTGGTGCTTAGTAGTACAACAGCCAAAAGTCAGGCGCTGGTTGAAGGAACAGAATTCACAGTCATAGGCATCGATATACTTTATACACTAAACAATGCAGTTAGGCTCTAGTGATGGGATTTACAACAACCAGCATGGTGAGAGGGGAAGATTTAAGTCAGTATAAGACATTTCTCCATCCATCTGTAATTACACCAGCCCCTTAGCAGTTCTTCTACATCTCAGCAACTTTAGTTTGCTCTTACTTTTCCTTTTATTCCCTGATTCCCATGTTCTCTTTTTCCTCAACTCTTTTTCTTTCGTACATTCAGTACTGAATAACACTCTGAGGGAGCTTCATTATGCAGTTGTGAAGTTGCATGCAAGTAAAAGTTCAATGGTCTCATGGAGTTCACAAGTAGCTCCACTTTACAGATGCTGTCATTTCTCAATCAATCACCCATTCTTTTTTTTCTTTTGCATATATTTTTTTCAATTACTGTTGTGTATCTTAATAATACGCAGAGGTTGGTGATGCACTGGAACAGGTTGTCCAGAGATGTTGTGGATGCCCCATGCTTGGAGGCGTTCAAGGCCAGGCTAGATGTGGCTCTGGGCAGCCTGGTCTAGTGACTGGTAATGCTGCCCGTGGCAGGGGAGTTGAAACTAGATGATCTTTGTGGTTCTTCTCAACACAGGCCATTCTATCATTATATGATTCTATGATTCAAATGTTATAAAAAGTGTGACAGCTCCCATCCCAGAGTTTTTTTGGGCTCTGCTGTGGGCTTGATTCCAGCAACGAGGAAGGGATGCTGGTTGTGTTACAACTTCCCAAGCACAGGCTATGTGCCATGCTGTGACTCTCCAGGCAGGAGGTGCAGCTCAAGTCCTGAAGTTTCACTAAAAGAACAACTGATGTTAATTATGCAGGCACCAGAAAACACTTTGAGAGTCAGTTTGTGGTTGTTACCCCTTGTTGATCCACATTCTGTCTTTGAAATAAATTCTAGTCTCTGCAGATCTGCATGAGAAAGAAGATAGAACTCAATATGGAGAAAGCTGTTAGGAAGAAAGCACAACAACATCCAACCTGTGGTGTGTGGTCTGCCTGCAGCCTGGTCCAGCTGGCAATGTGGCTGCCCATATCCACACTGTACAGCAGCAGCTCTGCCTGCAGTTGTGGGCTCAGCAGTGACCACAGTGTGCTACCAGCACTGTGCCGGCTGACAGCAGGGCATGGGGAGGGCAGTGCTGACTCAAGTGATGGCAAATGGATGTTTGCATTTTGATACGTTGGCTAAACACAGTGCTCTGCGAAGAATACACAGCTGTGCTTTCTGTTTTGATAAAGGATTTTGAGAATAGGTTTCAAGATTGCAAAAAAAAAAAAAAAAAAAAAAAAAAATCATTTTATGTTTGTGACGCTATTTTCTGTTGATATAAATGCATTGCCTACAAATTCTCAACTGGAATGCATACAGTTGCAATCAGATCTTCAGCTCAAAAATCTGATCATGTCACTTTACCAGACTTTCATAATCCCTCTCTTACCAGAGAGAAATATCCTTCACTTCACAATCACACCTCATTCATGTCATCAACTATTGGCAGTATGTACATTTGTGAACAACTGTTGACGGAGAAGCACAGGAAGAGTAAAGTTTCCTCAAAAATCTGATGAACCCTTTGAGACCTCACTAAGAGTTGCAGCCACTGCCATCAAGCCAGCTGATGGGTTAGCTGCACAAAAATGGGGTCAAATATCCCAGTAGTCTTATGGTTTTGTTCCTCTTTAATAAATAGAAATAGGAATTAATGTTTGTAATTAACAAAATATTTTATCTATATTGCTTATTTTACAAGGGCTGCTCCTATTTTATGATGTCTCACAATGTCAGAGACTGATACGGTGGCAGAGGTGGAACCTTCCCAGGAATGTTCCATTATGTTTTTTTTGCTGTGTGAGAGATGGCAGCAAGAGAGGCAGTCTGACAAAATGGTGTCTGACATGGAAGTGCATATGAAGCAAAGATGTGTCGTTTAACTCCTCCATGCAGGAAAAAATGGCACCCACTGACATTTCATTTACTGAATGGATATCAAACTGTGGCTGTGAGCACAGTGACACTTTGAGTGGCGTGTTTCAGCTATGGAGGCAGAGGGTCACCTCTGCTGGTACAGACTTTTATGACCATGGCCTGTAGGCTGTTGTTCATTGCAGGTGAAAGTGCATAGCCAATGGTGGTTACTATATTGAAAAAGTGTGTTTTTTGTAGCTGAGAATTTGCTCTATCAAATAGTGATATTGTTCTCTTTTTTTTTCTGTTGTAGTTTCCATGGAAATAATTAGGAGTTTACTTTCAGAGCAACTTATGGATACGTTCTTCACTCAATGCAGCCCAGGCAAGCCAAAGGGTTGGACACCCATGAGCCAGAACAACTCTTCCCTTTCTCTGATGACCTTTTGATGAGACAAACACTCTTCCTGTGCCAGGGGAGCACAGAGGTGATTGACTTGTTAAGTCAGTGAGGGCTTCTTTACTGGGATATTAATTCATGCTTTCTGAAGTTCACTGTAGCATCTGCTTCATCAAGCACATCTTTCTAGTAAAAAATAGTTCTTTATTCCTAACCTATGGACTATAAATCTCCTAAGCTATGTCTCTGGGTACCTGTAAAATTGCTGAGTAAATAAGGAGCAGAGTCATCATCAGAATAGCAACAATAACATTTTTTGACTACTGAACTCAGCTACATGCTGTGGATGTGGGTTTACCAAAGAGACTGACTATTGCTAGCTTCCTTTCTGATGTGCAGACTTCACATCTCAATTGCACTGCCTGTAACTGCTATATTAATATACTGTATATTTTAATACATATTGTATGATATCTTAGGCAATAACATATCGATGTGAAGTTCTATAAAACATGCTGTAACATTCTTTTTGAAAAACAAGATAAAATGACACTAAAATAAAACTGAAGGATTTATACTTGTTTCAACAATGGTTGTGCCTTTGAGAAGCCAATAGTTATTATGTTGAAAAAGGTAAATCTATAAATAAGATTTGAAGAACACAGACGCATAAAGCACAGAGGAAAGAGAGTGGTTTCCTGGAGTCTAAATGTACCTGCCACTTGCTTACTTCTGATCTCAGTTAACGTGAGTAAATTAGGTTGCTGCTTTTCATCATCTGTTCTCAGATTGGTGTCAAGGACTACTTTAGTGTCTCAGAACATGTTTTATGTTAGGAATATATGACCAGTGTGGAAGTGAAAGAGGACCCTGTTGGCACCACAGGCATGTGTGGAGGGAGAGGGCAAGAGTTTTTAGAATGAACTGAATAGACCAGCTGGAAAGTAACTGGTCAGTTGAACAGATGATCATAGATCATAGAATTGCTCAGAACCTTAAAGATCATAGAGTCCAACCACGACATAACCATACTACCCTAACTCTAAGAACCCTCTGCTAAATCATGTCTCTATCAGTATACACTGGATACTGAATCTTCTTAATGAGAACCAAGACAGCAGTTGGGCCTGCATTCCTTGGCTGTAGATGGAGGAGAGCATGCAGAAACCAAGAAACAGCATGGGATGAAAGTAAGAATAGCAGGATGCTGGAAAAGGAGCAGTGGGAAGTTGCTCAGAAAGGCTCCTGGAGGCAAAAAGTGCTGCAAATGGAGAAATGGAGAAAGGCAGATGCATGCCTTACATTCAAATAACAGCCTTTTTAATGGCTGAAAAAACAGCTCTAGTCTAATATTGAAATCATGCTACACTTTTCTGTATCAAAACATGAGACATCTAATTGCATGGCATAGTAACACAGAAACCTTTGTTACCAAAAAAAAACTATCCTAAACAGACCCGCTGCATGAATTTGTAAAGCTTTATTTATTTCTTTTTAATAATATAATTATCTATAGATACTGAGTGTCTAATCTCCATTTACCTAAGTTCTTTGTACAACCCATACAACTCCATGTACCCTAATCCACCCATAATGACTGAATTATTGTTGGTGTTGAACATATCAAACTGCAGCAGGGAAGCAGTAACACCTGAGATTACGACTCCTTTTCTCCTCTGGTACTTGCAGCTTAATTCCAGGTGAGGGGTAAATGCCTTCCTCCACCAGTCTTCACAAACTTAGGCTGCTTTCCTGGTGACTGTAACCTTTTCTTCAGAGGACTGATCCCAGCTTTCTCTATTCTTTTAACGTTCAGGTAGGGATGGGAGTTTTCTTTAGATCAGAGCATTCACCGAGGCAGTGAGACACCCATGTGTCCTGCAGTCTGAAATGGTTCAAGCATGTAATTAGTTGGGTATGTGCAAGAAGCCTCCTGAAGCTATTTCAAAGCTGCTGAAGATGCTACTCTGAAGGAGCCATGGTGCAGTTACTGGAGGTGGTATAGATGTATTGCCCTTCAGCATGGGGGCTCAGGACTCCTGCATTCTGGCTGAGTGCTTTAGCTGGCAAGAGGATGAAGAGGACTTAAAGCTGAGGTGGAGTGTAGCTGTAATGCAGTGGAGTGTTAAGTGGAATGTAAGCATTCATTGCCCCAGGACAGGCACCTATAGGCATATTTAGGAAAATAAAATCCTCAAGAAATTTCAGACAAAGCAGGGATATTCCTGGTAGATCTTGGTCTTGTGCTGATTTCGATCCCCTAAATTAGCTATATTTCTGGAATGGATCTTCCTAACACTAAGCTCAGATGGTCAGAAAAAAATGACAAAAATGAATTTAAATAAAAAACTAAACTGAAAATATTTTTAATTCATTCCTTCTTTCTTTCCTTTTTATGGCCTCTTATGAATTCGAGCTGTTTCTCAGAATTTCTCTCTGGAGGTCTCTTCTATCTCTCTCCTTGGGTTTCTCAGATTTAGAGAGAAATATAAAGACTATTTTTACTTCTACACAGGGATTAATAGAATCCTGCCTGTCTAGCTGCAGGGTAAATCAGCACAATTTCCCTGTATGCCAAATGCCAGGAGTTTGTCATAGATATGCTTAAGCCCTACCATTAAATGTGGTTTGTAGTATGTGTTGCATACTATTAGTGGTTAGCTAGGGAAGAATGATACAAATGATGACCAAAAGACTAGTTAAGACCCACTTCCAAATGTCCTGTGACCATATCCCCAAATTGGCAGCAGATCTGCTTTGCTGATCATAAATGTTATACTATTTGGATGGACTTTTTAAACCCTGCCATTTTTGGGCATTTAAAAATAAAAGGATAAACAAAACCACATCTGGTCTACAAATGTGCGTGTCATGTTTGAGCTTGATGCAGTTTCGAATTAGTTGTTAAACACTGAAAAGCAGGGTTCATAAGGGAAATGCCTACTCAGCTGATTGTAGTGCAACTGGTGCAACTGTAATAGAAGCCAGACACTCCTTGAAATAGCAGACAACTGTGTATGGCTATAGAGGAATAGAGGGAAAGAAAAGCCAGATGGTGTACTTAGCTGCACTTAAAATCTGATTGTGTGTGTCAATAATGAATGCCCAAATAAGATTCTTTCATTTAAAAAAAGAAAAAAAGAATATATGTGCATACTAGTAGAACAAATGCAACCCTACAGAAAAAAAAAAAAACATGTGGATTCCATTGCTGTGATGGTGGTTATTGTAATGACCAGTTAACCTGCATTTGCTGCAGTTGTCTAAATTCTTAAACATTAAATATTTTACAACACAATAACAAAATAACTAAATCATAGGGGTAATCCTGACAAACAGAAAATATTTATGGCCCATTTTCTTAGAAATACAAATGGTTGCTTTTGCTTAGGTTGCTGGAAAAAGTTGCTTACTGGATGCCACAGTCTTAAAAAACTTTCCCTTATTTGGATGTTAGAATGAATTTCTGGCAGGGTCATCTGAGTCCTTCATTATTTCTAGGTAGATTAAATGGTTTATTAAGGGTGAAACTTGGGCCTTGTGCTAATCAATGGAAACTTTACAAGCAGTCACAGCATCACACCTATAAATAAACATTTCATGCAAGACTTTAAAATAAAGAATTTCTGCTGTGTATGGAAATTAATGTTTCCCACAGTTACTCAGTCTTACAGAAAGAATTTACTTGGCTGAAGTATGTATAAACAATTAAAGAATAAATATCTCTATAATTCCTCTATATCTCCTCTCCTCTCTCTTTACTTCTTTCTCTCTTTCTCCACAGTGGAGAGATTATGAACCCCTTGCACTGACTGTATTTGTTATTAGCAGCCCCACTGAGTTTAGCAGAAAAGCTTTTGCACTAAGATGTTAATCATTTTAAGTAAAGTCAGCAAAAGGTGGTCATAAATAAGCATCAAATGCTGTGAAACTTAATCATATTAATCAGATTCTTTTCCATGTCTTATCTGTATGTATTCAGATGGCACTGCATAAAGCTATGCAATGATACTACCCCAGATACACTGGCTAAAGCCAATTTATCAAGTGTTTCTTTTCACTGTGTTTTTTCTCTTTCACAGTGCTTCCACTTCTGGAACTAGCAGAGTTTCTTCTAGCTGGAGAAACAGCAGCACTAGTTGTAGCGACACTCATAGAGTTTGGGCTTTCAAATCTCTAAAGTACTTTTGAAATTTGTATTTAATATTTATTACCCCCTTCAAAGTGCAATTCAGTGGAGTAGCAGAAGAGAATTGGATTGCCTTTCATTAGTTTCCTGACCCCTTATCTAATGTAAAAACCTATTTTAATTGCTCATATCTTTGCCAAATCTTAAAAATCGCCATGTATAGCATTAAATGAGCCCCAATGGGTGTGAGCATTATGACATTGTCTAATTACATGATCACATTTGAATTTTGTTTTAAACTATTTGTGCTCTAGTCTGTGCACAGGACAGAAGGAGCTTAGTTCAAAAGCAAATATTCAATTTTAGTTCTCTTCCCATTGCTCAATATGTCCCCCATGCCTTATTTACTGTATGGTATCCGAACCCTGCTATGAAGATAATTACTATGTCCCTTCCAGGTTTTTTTTATGGTTCTTGTTGCTATAGTACCTGAGCATTTAACAAACTTTAATGAATTTATGTGCACAAAACCTCTGAGGTGGGTAGTGGTATTATTCCGTTTTGCATGTACTGAACTGAGACACAGAGAGATGGAAAAAAAAAAGCACAAACCTTCAAATATGTCAGATTTGAAGTGAGATCTGAGTTTTTGGTGTGCTTCTTTACATACTAAAAATAGTGTACACTTTGTATACCAGAGGTATCAAATCAGTCACCCAGAAAATCAGAAGTGAACAAATAGAGTAAACAAAAGACCAATTTAAGTCACCTGCCCAGTACCTATAGAGTGACATAAATCCAGAGTTCCAGACCATTGCTTAGATATCTTGCCTTGAGACCATTTTTCTCTTCCTGAATTCTTTACCTGAACAATCCAGCTCTATAGCAAATGAGACACAGGTCTATACAGCAGGGCAGGTCCAAATCCTTTTCTCAACACACTAGAAGAACACTGCCTGTTCATGTAAGTCAACTGATGATGGGATGCAATTAAGGAGAGCTCAGCAAGGGCAAGGTTGTGGTAGAGATGGCAAACAAGTTTTCTGCTCTGATGGTCACTGTAGAGAGACTGGAAGGAGACCCAAACCCTTTGAGAAGACTCAGCAAGAAAAGTCTGAAACAAAAGATTTTGTGGAAGAAGTAATTGAATAAAGAAACAGAATAAAATATGTTAAAATATCACTGTGATTGTATGATATTCACTCAAGGGTCTTAACTTGGATGGTATTATTAGCAGTAGTGTGTAACATTTCTCTTAAAATTTCACTCATTTCTGAAGATGGGAGAATGGTGAATGCAGCACAAATTTTTTAAAAAGTTACCAAGGATGTTCTCCAAAATTGCAAGCTTTAATTTACCATTTGGTAGATTTAACTGCCAGGAACCAACAGCAGTTCTTTCATAGAGGAACATTAATTTACCGTTTGGTAAACTAACAGAAGCCATGATAAATGGCCACAAAATTAGTGGAAATTTGTATAAATCTAACTGACTAGAAGATAAAATACAGTTTGTCTATGGAAGTCCTAATCTTCATGGGAAACAGACATCTCTGATAGGGACAACAAGTATGTAATTGCCAATGATCCTGCTGATAACTTGCCTTGATTTCCAAAAGAGTTTTGACAATAAATCCCTCACTAAAGGATTTTAGTAAATAAAGCAGCCATGGCAGAAAACAGAAGCTCCTAGGTAGGTTTAAAAGGCTGAGAAACAGAAAAAGAGGATAGGAAAAAATACTTGAATTTCAAAATAAAAGGAGGAACTGCAGCACTCTTCTAGTACTTGTGCTGTGAAATGTGTCTATAAGTGACCTGGAAAGCCCAACAAGCACCAAGGTAACAAGACTGGCCCTAGGTTGGCTGTAAAGAATTGCAGAAAGGGATTAAGAGACAAGAAAGTAAAATGGCAGGTAAAATTCTATGTAGATTAAGTGTTGCATGTAGGAAATAGTGATACTAAATTTACATACTAATTGTCTCTGATCAAGATTGAGACCATGGGTTTTATCATAGCTCCAGAAAAGCTCAGTTCAGGGCTTAGAAACAATCAGAAAAACAAACTGGATATTAGGGGAAAATTAGGAAAGGAATTGAACACAAAACCTGAAAACAGCGCTACAGCTCTCTAGCTCTGTTCCAACTGCACCCTGGATATTGTGTGTCATTATTGTCCTGTTTCAGAAGTGCATCGTAGGAAGCAAAAGGATATGAAGAAGGGAATTGGGGCTGATCAGAACTATGTGACTGTTTCTGTATTAGAAATAGAAAATGGAGTCCACCTGGAAAATAAGTGGAGAATGGGAAGCAGACATCTTTGAGGCCATGAGTGCTGTAAGTAAGCTATGGCCAGGAACTGACAGCAGTTCTTCCATAGAGGAACAAAGGGATTATCACAGATCTTCAGCTGCAACGTAACAGACTTGAAGAACTGCTCACTGATGAATGTTGAGTGCCTTAGAAGAGAGAAGACTGGGGAAGAACTTGGAAGAAGGATTTGTTATGGGTGACAAAACAGAGAAAGTATAGCAGGCTCAGGACTTCTCCTATCTGGAAAGCATCACTGGAGAAAGACTGCTGGGAGAAAAACTGGTTGTACTCGCCCTGCATGACACTTCGCCCTGGGTGCCCACCTATGGCACAGCTGCAGGAGAAGTACCAGGCTGGCGGGAGCCTGCTTCTGAACCAGCATGACTGCTCTTATATCTTATCCTGCTGTGAAGAAGGCAACAGTCTCAGGTATGTGGTTAGATACCAAAATGAATAATGCAAAGAAGCTGAATTAGGTCATATCCTATTCTCTGATTATAGGATAGAAGAATGTCTGATTACGGTGTCCTGGGACTTCTACAAAACAGGTTTAAAAAATCAATGCCTTTTTATGTTTGAAAATGAACTGAAATTGAGAAATGAAACCAGCACATTTAAAGGTGCTGAGACTGATTAGAACATTTTCAGTTTCTCAATTTGAAACACATACCATGGAAGCTGAGAATCTGTTTAGGGATACCACTGTATCTGAGAAATGCTCACATCCACGCTACACACAGGATGTTGTGGGAATAGATGATGAGCAATCCAAAGCTGATTCAAGTCAAGGGAGAAAGCAGACATCAATCAATAGCTGTAAGTAAATTAGACCTGGCACCTTAAGTGCCTTAAATGTTAGAAGTTAAACCTGAAATAGTATCCTGATTCTTAAAGGAAGGTGGTAAATGACTTACTGAACAAATGGGTGACATAATCAGAATGAGTAACACTGCTGAATCTTGAACAGAGTGCAGAATCTGAGTGTAAGGAGTTAGGAGACAAGGCAGGAATGGATTGTGAGTTTCCAAGTACACATCACACAAAACACAAATTGCGTAAGAGGAGCAGTAAGGAAGAGACCTATTTTGGGACTATCTTCACTGGGCATACTAAATAAAATTACAGTTCTCAAGCAACTCACCTAATGCATTTTTTTTTTCTGCTATCACCAGTATATACAACAAAAAACACGAACACAACTACATAAAATAAAACAACTGTTTCCTCAAAAATAGAGGAAGAAACAAAATAGATTTATTTTCCTTTAAAAGAATCTCCCATTATTATCTTCAGAGTGTTTTTCTGATAGCAAAATGAGTGATAAGATGGTTCTAGATGAAAAGGAAAGCCTTTTAATTTACTAAGGAAAAGACCCAAAAGGCTGCTGTGATTGGCATTATTGAAACTTACTCTTCTGTAATTGACTTGGGTCTAATCTAACTTTTTTTTCTCAGCATTAGTGTTGGTCACGACAATAAAACAATATTAATCACTCCATGAAATACCATAGATTTGATCTTTTTTCACCCAGAAAATAAAGTAGATGGACAGGAGGCAAAGATCACACCATCAGGGAAGAAGAATTAATTCATACAAGTAAATCAGTATGAATATTTTATGGTCACTTTTGATTATGACCTTAGGTTGTCCCACAGGTGTGCAAATGACCTTAATTTTGGGGTTGACTTTAGATTGCCCTTCTGTCCTATATAACACCAAAGACTATTCATTAGCAATATGGGAATTCTAATATGAACTGTTTTGCAGGAAGTCTCTCCTTCTTGGGCATATTCTTTCCTTTTGCACTGAAGAGAGGGAAGAAAAAAAAAAGAGTTGAGGATAACCAGCTTTCAGGAAGCACAGGTGTAACCAATTCTCCTGTGCTTCCCACCTGGTTGGAAGGGGCAGACCTTGGGCTCATTTAAGAGCTAGCCTCCAAAAGGTGAATGTCTTCTGGATGAGGGTTGTTTTTTGAGAAGTAGTATTTTATAGCTAGAGAGACTATCATCAGTTGGGTAAGTTAAGATTTTCAGTGTATGCTTATTGATGTCTCCAATAATGCTTTGAAAATATTGTAAGGATCTTATTAGAAGTAAGTACTGATTTTTTGCTTAGTTTTTAATAGAGTTCTGAGACCAAGAGTCTTTAAACTCTTGTTGCTGTTAATAGAGTGTCTTTAAGAGAGTCTTGTGCTACGCTTACTGACCTTACCTTGATTCATGAAGGCTAATGTATCTTTGTACCCTCTAAGTCATATAGGCTGCTTTCCACTACATTGGGTTTTAGCAAGGTAGGGGTGGAAGGTGCTATGCAGGATGGATCTAAGCACATTGCCAAAGGCATTTCCAGTACAGTATCAGAGAAATGGAAAGCTGAGATCATGCTATGACCAGTTGTATTGACTATACAGGCTGTTTTCTTTCATACCCACTGTGGTATTCAGTCAGGCCTGTTGGAATTAAATTTCCTGTCATGTTGATTTATTTTGCATTCATCAAAAGGGGGATAAGATTTTTAGGTAACTAAAATTGGAGATATATTTTAATTTCACACTTGAGCGTGGGAATTGCATCTTTTGTGAAGCTGGAAATTTACTGCTATCAAAATTTCAGTTTCCTACTGACAATATCATTAGCTCATATTAATACCCTTTCTTCTCTCAGTGAGGATTATGTATACTAAAGCCTGTGAATCCGCATTGCTTTATGATGTAGATGAACAAAAACAGAACTGTAAACAGAGCATCAATTCTCACTGCAGTGACATCTGACGCAGGGCTATTTAAAAGTTTTTTAAGTGCTTCTGTTTCTTCCACCTACGGCATTTATGTAGTGAATGGACACTTGCAGCAATCTTGACTCTTTATTATTTCTCCTTGCCAATGTTATTTTATATCAAGATTATAAATAGTCTCTTTAATATATATTGTAAAGTCAAGTATAAAGCTTATGCATTATATATGTTTATTCTAAGTGAAAGTTATTTTGGTCTACCACAATGTAAACTATTATCCTCATAATTTATATTTTTCCTGTTGATATCTTCATTTCTTCTCTTTTATAAAGGAAAATTTAAATGAAGTTAGTTCTTTAAATAAGTTGTATCTTGATTAAAGTTTACCCAATTTTCTCATACAATACTATTCTTTTTTCTGGAGGTTTTTTGTTTGTTTGTTTCTAACCTAAAATAATAAGCCACAGGGATCAAAAGTTATAATATATTAATGAGAATTAGGTTGTTTCGGAGCTTGTATGGAAGCCTTCAGATATCTTTAAGGTGTTATGGGAAGATTGTGGCTTTTCTTTAATCAATGAATGGTTCTAATTCAACTTCTTTATGATGTTTTTGCAAGATATTATTGTATTCATACAAGACAAATCCCAAAAATAAGCTCTTAATGCACTTCATCAAAACATCAATATTTGTATGCTTTTTTCCAGGTTAGACTGAACATTTGAAGTTGTTCAGATGTGGAACTGCCATGAAAAAACTTCTTGTGTAATTAGTCTCTGCTACCTTATCCTGCCATTCTTTCTCCATTTGTTTATAACTGTTGAAACACCTGCAATGTGTTTGTTGATTCTATGAAAGAAGGTGAGAAAACTGTGAGGTTGTCTTTTTGTACTATTGGTGGAGCTGCAGAATGGATGCTCTGAATTTGCAGAGAAGAATTGGCTACTTCTAATCTGAGAGGTTGGGTCTTCTGGATCTGAGATTTGGAAGCAGAGACAATTACCACTCATCCAGAACTGGATGCCAAGATACTCTTGCAACTGGGCCTGAAGTTTTCTCTCTCCTTAACACAAAGGATGGCTTAGCTTGTTAGCACTGAGAAGGCATGTAGCATTTATTCCTTCATATTTTCCGAGGAGCCCAGAGGTTACAGTTGAAACCTAAAGGTTACAGCACCTGTTCTAGAGGAAGCCCCACATAATCTGGGAGCTCTCTACAATTATGTCAAGGTTTTCTAATGGCTAAGCATTTTTTTAAAAAAAAAATCTGTATCTTTGGCAATGGGAACCTTTTAAATTGAACATCCCTTAAAGACACATTTTAGATTTAACAGTAGGCAGGAGGTCTGTGTACAGAAACTTCTCTTTTGAAAGTGGCCTCAGGTTCTTAATTCACTCACTTTTGAAATACGATTTTTTTTTTCTTTCCTTCCAACTCTTATGTTGCTCCATAAGTAAACTTAAAACTGAAAGAATTTATAACACAGTTACATCACAAGAGCAACTGGTTTGATTTCTAGCCTACATGTAAAAGCTGAGTAAAACTTCTAACACTGTGAGGGTAGGATAGGGAATCAGACTTTATTTATCTACCTGTGCTTTTTGAAGACCAACTATTCTATCTTACTGAAATATATAATCTTGGTATGCCAGACATCAGTGCTATGAAACATCATCTGCACCCATTTCTTTATATTATAAATCCTAGATTAAAGAGTAGTAACAGTTAAAAGAGAAAGAATAAATTGTATATTACTTAGCTGTATATGTGGGTCTGATTCTCATTCTTACTGTGATCCCTTTATAGTGGCAGTAAAACATGGTTCTCAGCTGGATGCAAATTTCTTCTGTAAGAAGTTCTACTTCACACTAAACTTGTGCTCCTTGAGAGCATAGGCTGTTCATGTAAGAATCATTATTTGTTACACAGGTATGTATATACAGTGGTAATTGTTTACATGAATATAAGAGAGTTCATATAAAATAAAAAGGTACGTGAGACTTATCTGTATCAAAACACTGTCTACGTGATATTTGTAAAAACTCTTTCATACTTTGTTCATTGCGTTTATCTTCCAGGCTATCTGGGAGCAGTGTGAGCTTGATTTACGGAAGAAAAAGCCACCTATCTGTGGTAAGAAGCAAGTTGTGTAAGGTTGAGATGGTTGAGTTTGGACGTTTCCTAGCTGTATTCAGTAGCTCCTAAACAAACCAGCAGAAGTCACTAACAGTTCTGGGCAAACTACTAAATGCACACCCTGGGAGTGAAAACAAGTCGTGTCTTACCTGCAGAGAAGCCTGCTCTATGTGTTGTTCATTTTTAAAAATTATTTTTAGTTAATATGACTCTTTAACTATACACTGTGATATATGTGGCTGAGTTTAATTGTATTACACAGATACAAGACCTCTATGAATGGGTAAACTGAGTCCTACATGTTCAAAGTAGTGTTCTTCAATTCATTGCACCGATTCATCAATTGAACACAAGCCAAAGGCCATTACAGTGGAGGAGTTGTTGTTTATAACTTCATCTGGGCCTGTACCTGTTACGTGGGAGGCTCCTACAAGCTCTTTTAAGTTGTATTCTTCTTATATTGACATCCCCCCTTTCCGTATGTTTTTTAGACACTGCAATATGAATTATGCTTATTATGGATATGACAGCCAAATCTATTTTGCTCTTACAAGTGATGTGCCAAGACAGCCTCTGTTCTGTCAGTAAGCACTGCCAAAGTACAATTGCATATGGCAGCAAACCTTTTTCAAGTTAAAACAGAAATGCTGAAAACTGACTTGACTAATTTATCAAAATTGCTTCCTGACTCTCCTGGGTTTTTTTTCTGGCTGCTACAAGACATCCTTCTACAATGCAACTGGAAACTCTTTGGAACTAAGTCAATATTTTCATTCATATTTCATGTTAACACTGGACCCAAACATTGTAAGGTGCTAAATCTTTTTGAAAGGGTGACAATCAGTGGTTTCCAACACAGAGACTGTGGTCTAATGGTGTGCTACCATGATCTTGGATTTTGTGCAACTACTTATATAAAATTGGTCTGAAGTACTATTAGCACAATATTGACAGTTTATCCTTATTCTTTCTTCTCACTGTATATAAATGCACCTGTGAGATCAGTGAAGTGAAAGAATAAAGGAAGAATAAGTCTCAATTCCTTTACTTTCCACCAAATTTTAATACTTCTTTCCTCTGTCGTTCTCACAGAAGCTCAGTTGCTGGATGAAAACAGGCCTGGGGCATGGTTTGCTCCATGGCTCACCATGCAGGAGAGTTGCTTTGCTCCATTTCTCTTTAACACTCATGTTTATCCCTGTCTTCATTCTGAGAACCAGATGGCCCAGTGCTGTTGTCCTTCAGCCACTGGGGAAATATTACTCAGCAGTTCCATGCTTTATGAGGCTGACTTGAAAAGCGCTCTTCTTCAGGAATTGTTTGCTATGTTGCTTTCTAACTGGATTCACTGATAAAAGCACTTCAGTGCCTTTAGATGCTCATGAATGCTGCTGTCACATTTCTTACCTCCACTAGCTCTATTCAGTATACAAAGGGCTCCTTTTTATCATCATCTCATAGGTTTCTTTTGTATAGCAAATCAATTAGTTAAACACGCTTTCACTTTGTGTAGATTAGGCATCCTGCTAGGTAATAGCTGTTTTTTGAATGTGAGTGGATCCTGAATTTCTGTAATGGAGTAGCAGTGACATTTCTGACAGGCAATGACACTGTAATATCACATAACTGGTACCACGATAAAGGCTTAAGTTACTTTTCTTATTCTGAAGTTTCTTGTGCAAGAATGAAAAAGCCACGTCTGTCTGGCATCGTGTTTAGAGTTTTTGAAATGAGTGTTTTTAGGTACTGTTGTCTGTGACCCAAATCCTTAGCTAGTACAAATCATCATAGGCTCTATTTTCTTCAAATATAATACTGATTTACATTAGTCAAGGATCTGTAAAGAGTAACCACTATAAAGCAGTGAATTTCTGAGTTTTATTAATTTAGGTCATGATCCAGCAGCATTTCTTATAACCCTCACCTTAAAGTTTTTTTGAGATCTAGGAACTTGAAAATTAGATGTACTTGATCCCTGCATGGGAATACCTTGAGTGGACAATCCCACTTTTTTTTTTTTTTTTTTTAATCTCAGTAGTAGTATGAGATTGAGTGAGTAATAAAGTGCTTTCTCTGGGGCTTTGTGGCCCCAGATCATGGATCCAGGATGAGAACAGAATACCCTTCTACCTTTGTTTATCAGAAAATTCAGCCACAATTATCTTTACCTTAAATGTTCGACTTCAGGCATGTGCCCTCTGAAATCAATGTCAAAACTCTCCTTGGCACGAATCAGGAGCAGGACTAAGTCAGCTGACAGCACTGCTCCTGCAGTAGGGTTGTGCCACTAGATTAGAGAATCCCTAAATTGGACAGGTCTGCCCTGTGTCTGGCCGTTACTTGGCAGACATCAGAGTGCTAAGTTTAGCTTTGTATTGATTGTAATTTGCTGTGGGATGCTGGGCAGGGAGGAAGATCTAGAAATGGAAGATTATAATGTATTATTGCATTTACAGTATTGATAGTATTGCGAATCGTTCTTTAACTTCTACAGGAATATTTTGGGCACAGACATAAAAGTACCCAAAATAACAGCCTTGCTCATCATTTAGAGAGACAGAGAAAGTGTTAAAAGATATATTGTGTAATAGAGGTTTTTTTTTTTTTTTTTTTTTCATAAGTTGGGAATAGTTTAAGATTCTCTGAACTCAATTTTTTTTTTCTACCTGCATTTCACATGAACCGAATTCTACAAATTTGCATTAATAGATTTTTGGAAGCAACTGTTGGTAAGAGATGAAGAATTACAAAGCATTTGTAATTACTTGAAGGAGTATCTGAAAATGCCAGAGCACTTAACTTTGCTTAAATAAAGAATGTGTTTCTGAAGAGCAGTGGAAAAAACCCTTGTAAGTTTCCAGAAGACTTTTCAGCAGCTCTACAGCTGTAGATGCACAGACCAGGAAGGGCAGAGTTATACCAATAGGGTGTGAATGAGGAACTAGAGATTCTTGGTAAGGCATATGATTCATGTGAAATCATGCAGGCTTTCCCTTCAATGGAAGTGTAAAGGCTAGTATTCTGTCATGGGGATGATAAAGCTGGGGATAACCACTTTTGCTTGATTGCATAAATAGTAATCCAAATATGGATATAAATCCTAACGTCTGCATTGGAAAATGTAGGTGAGGGTGAGGACAGAAAACATTAACTGTGCAGTTCAGTAGAGGGATAAGCAAACTGCGTAAATGTTGTTTCTTTGCCTAGATACTTCACCAAGACTGAAGTAATTTCCCAAAGATGCAAAACTGCTTTAGAATTCCATTTGAAAGAAAACTTTAGAACTTAAACTAAGCACAGCCAAGTACAAGCCCAGTTTTAAACTGTTTTTTGTTTGTTGTTTTTTTTTTTTTTTTTTTTGGTCAGGCAGACCCTATTTACTGCAGAGTGAGGAAGCCTAAGGAACGTGTTACTTTATAGGACAGCTATCCATTTACCTGCAAGGGTTTCAACTGCTCCAACCTTGAGTACAAAGCAATATGATCACATCTGCACAGTACTGCATACAGAGCATCTTTTCCAGCTGGGGCTGACCAGGCATTACCCTCAGAAACTTGTGCTGGTTGTCCCCATTCAATTTCTGGTCCTTCATGTGTGAGGATGTGGCTTTCAGATTTTGCTCTTCTATTTTCCTGGAAACTGAGGTTAGGATGACTAGTCTGCTCTTCAAATCTTCGTTCTTGCCCATATGAAAGACTGATATTATGATTGCCTTATTCCAGATGTCGGGAACTGCCTTTGATTGTTGTGATCTTTTGAACGTGACAGAGACTGGCTTTGTGATGATTTTGGCCAGCTCACGTAGCATTACTTGTGTCCACAGCATTCTATCCTATAAATGTCCAATTTACTGAAGAGGTCCTAAGTCCACTTCTTGTGTGTAATGCCTCCCTCCTGCAGAGTCTTACAAGTCATATTGCATATATATATATATATATATATATAAATATATATATATAACCTTTATCAGTAAGGGCTGAAGCACTGAAAGCATTGAGTATTACTTCATCTTATTCCCCATCACTCTATCCTCTGCCCCCTTGCTCTGTGTGTCCATGTTTTCCTTTGTTTTACTTTTGCTGATGATTTGCTCTTGAAGATTTTATTCTTGTCTTTCAGCTCACTTACTAGTTTCCACATCAGTTGAGCTTTGGTCTTTCTAATTATATCCCTGCAGATTTGGGCAACACCTTGATAGTCCACTTGGCTTGCTCGTTCCTACTTCCACACTATAGAGCTCCAAGGACTTGTATAGCTAATAGAATGAATTGTTGTGTACTGTAGAAGCTTTCCAGTATCATTTTCTAGGATCAACTCTAATCATTTCTGGTCACCCTGTAAATGAGTCTAGGTGCTGCTGTCCTGTAATTGTTGCCATCTTGCAATCAGCTTATATAGAATCCCCAAATTTAATCCTAAATTCTAGTCTAAAAACCAGGAGGTGGATCCAAGCTGTTGTTTTCCTTATGGTGAATATTAAGTAGCTAATTAGCAAATAGTTGATTGCTAGAACAATCATTCTGAACAAATGCTAGTTTTATGTGTGAGTTGATGATCTTTATCTGGACAGCTCTTTCCAGATGCGTGGGTCAAATGATGTTAAGTTCTTTGCTTGTAAGGAAGGTAAGTTGGAAGTTTCCAAGAAATTATGAAGGTATACATCAAGCACATGTACAGCACAGATTATATAGGATGAAACTGGTGGAACATACAGTATTTGCGTGCCAGATGTTAACTATGCATTATACATAATAAGGCTTCCTTTCCTTGTAGTGGTATTCAACAGTAACAAAGAGTCTTAAGTTAACAGTAAGAGTCTTAAGTTAACAATAAGAGTCTTACGTGCTACAGTAGTGGAAGCCCACTGTGCTGTTTCAGAAGGGAAAAATGGATGGCCATATACGAAGTAGAGAGTAAAGAAACCTTCAGAGATATAAAGGAACTAAGCGCTGTCAAACATGGTTTTGAAATAAAACATTTCCACTCTCCCCCAACTTTTTCCAGGGTTTTTCCACTCAGATAATGTAGATGCTTAAGGTACAATAATAACATCTTTAGAAGATTGTTAGATTATATGAAAGAGGAAATAGTAATATACGTACAGAGAGATACTGAGAAAGAGGGTATGTGGTTTGAGTCAGAAATCCTCTGATCTCAAAAGAAGCAGATGATGCAGATAAAACACAGGCTTCACTGGCACAGCTAGCAGGGAACTTTTATGTGTACATAAAGCAATTATAAAAGGTGTTTGATTTTTGCATTAAAGGAGCCAATTAGTTTTTTTTTTTTTTTTTGACTAAAAATATATATTTCTACTTTTATTTTCAGCAGACAACAAACCAAAATGAAGCCTGGTAGAAGTCATTGACTAGAAAAAGCTTTTAGTATGTTTTAGTACAGTAATTCCAGTGTGAAAATTCCCCTGACACTGAGATCCATTTCAAAGAAAACGACTAAGATACTAGCTTCAGAAAGTTCCAGTTTCTGGAGTAGAATTGATCATTAAAAAGCAAACTAGAGACACAGATTGCTGGACACCCTACATGAGTGGCACATTGGCTGTAGCTGTGGTGAACCTTTGCTATGGGGTTATCCCTTGCAGGATTGTTTGTTGGTTTTGCAAGCATGTTTCCCTTGAATACAGGAAGAGGTCAAGAAATGCCAGCAACTAGCAACTGGCCATGACACGGAACAAAGAGCACTGGGTCTGTGATACACCGGAGAGCACTGAAGTCTCTGTTTGTTTTTTGCTGTTGTAATTGCTCTGTTGTATTACACAACATATTTAGCTTCTGGGATCAGCTTTCAAGAAGGTTTCTGCAGCATAACAGCTTCCCATGGGGAATGATTTCAAAGGGCAACTCCAGGATATAGATATAAGAGAGTTGCTGATCTTAACATGTTTTTCTAGCGATTATCTCTGAATAACCATGTTTTAGAGTAGTAGGACTCATTTAGCAAACAATGTTTACTTAGAGGTAAATGCTGCAATCTACCTAATATTCCTTAATTTCTTG